TGCATGAATACCATGTACATCCCTGGTGCTCTCAGAGGTCAGATGAGGGCTTTGGATCCCCTGGAACTGGAGTTATAGATGGTTGTGAACCACCAAATGGGTGTTGGGAACTGAACCCACCCAGGTCCTCTGCAAGAGGAACAAGTACTCTTAATGTCTAAGCCAGCTCTCCAGCTTCCCCAGCCCACTTTCCTAAACATCGAGGTTAGATGTAGGGCTGGTAATAATTTAAAGTCCAGACCATCCATCTGTCTATCCATCCATTTGTGAGTGGAAGGGAAATAGTAAATTTATTATTTATTTTTATTTGTTTTAGACAGGGTCTCACTATGTAGCTCTGGCTATCCTGGAATTCACTATGTAGAGTAGGCTGGCCTCCAACTCAGATTTGTTTGCCTCTGCCTCCTGAGTCCTGGGATTAAAGGTGTTTACCACCACACTGGGCTCTTTGGTGTTTTTTTTTTTATTTTTATTTTTTAATGCTTTTGGAGTGATATGGTACTAATTGTGGTGCGTGTCTAGAAGTTATGGCCAGTACTAAAGTCCACATCCATTAACTGGAATCAGTTTTGCTCCCTGTGAGACATTGGTTGTGCCTAGACACATCTTTGAGTATTTTAACCAGGAGGTGCTACTGGCATGAGTAGGGAAAGAGGCCAGATGTGCTAAGACAGACCCCGTCCTCACTGAAGAGAATAACCCAGCCTACATGTCCTAAGTGCCAGTGACCTGGGAACACTGCTGTGCAAAGAAGACATGTAAGCCAAGTGTGGTAGCACACGCCTTTAATCCCAGCAAAGGGATAAAAAGTAAAAAGACTTTTTTTTTTTCCCCCTATATACCTGGGGATTCCTGTTGCTTGAGACTTCTAATTCTCTGTCCAGGCTTTCATTCCCCTGGCAAGAGTGTTCATTTTAGTTGAATAAGCTTCAGTCTGTAGAAATGGAAGCGCCACATTGTTTACTGATAGAAGCAGTCTACATAAAGTATGTACTGTAACATTAATTATGTCCTTTTTTTCCAATCTAGTGGAAGCTGTTGCTGCCCTGGGGAACAAAGTCGTGGAAAGCCTGAGAGCCCAGGACCCCTCAGAAGGTCTGCGTCTGCTCTGAATATCTGCGTAGTGACAGCAGCTGCTGCGCTTCCAGAGTCGGCTGTGTGGGGCAGCGTAGCAGAGTCAGGGCTGTGTGGGGCAGCGTGGAGCAGAGTCAGGGCTGTGTGGGCAGCGTAGCAGGGGTCTCGGGCAGTCACAGCTTATTTTCTTTTATTATGAAGGGTGGGTTAGAAGAGAGAGATTTACTCCATAACTCAGGCCGGCCTCAAATTACGTTCCTCCTCTCTCTCAGCCTCTCAAGTGCTAGGATCATAGATGGGTATGCACCACTGAATTCTGATTTGTTTTAAAACTCTGTAATTCAGAAATAACCCCAAGCTTGAATTTGTATGTGTGGTGTTGAGGTTGAACACAGTACCTCTCATACATGCTAGGTGATCAGTCGGCCACTGAGTTTCATCTCCAGACCTCGTCTCTTCAGCTTGCTCTGTCCCTCTGCTCCCCTACTTTGGAGATGGGGTATCATGTCAGGTTGGTCTAGGACTCCTGACGATCTTCTTGCTCCCACCTTCCACTTCCTGGTATCCAAGTTCTTATTGACGTTTTTTGGTGCATGTTTGCAATCCCAGTACTTGGGAGACATGAGCAGAGTATCTGGAGTTTGAGACCAGCCTTTGCTACATATACATCTTGTCTCAAAAATTAAATAACTCACTGCCAGAAAACCCACCTGTTAACCAGGTATGGCATACCTATAACCCCAATATTTGAGAAGCTAGAGCAGGGGGTTTGATAATTTAAGACCAGCCTGAGCTATAGACATAGTAAGACCTTATTCTCAAAACAAAATGAAGGCTGGGTAGATAGAGCTTAGCTGGCAGGATCCATGTCTAGCATGTGTGAAGTTCTCAGATCAGTACTCAGCATTATATCCAGCAGATTTAGTGGCACTTATGTATGCTTAGCTAGTGAGGCAGAGGAAGGAGGATCAGCAAGCAGGTCAGTCGTCTTTGGCTGTACAATGAGTTGGAAGGCAGCCTCAGCTAAATGAGATCTTGTCTCAAAAGCAAAACGGGTTAGCAAGATGGCACAGTGGGTAAAGTTGCATGCCACTAAGCCTGATGCCCTGAGTTTGTTCCCTGGGCCTATGTGGTGGAAGGGGAGAACTTATTCCTAAAAGGTTGTCCTTTGGCTCACTCACACACGCCCTAAATAAATATAATAATAACAGCAAAACAGAACAAATATGTGTTATGTATTTTGATTATTTTGTTCTTTTAGTTTTGACCATGCTGACTAATGAAACTGGCTTTGAAATCAGCTCTTCTGATGCTACGGTGAAAATTCTCATTACAACAGTGCCGCCCAATCTCCGGAAACTGGACCCAGAACTCCATTGTGAGTCTTCTGTCCCCGTTTGTGACAGGAGCCAAGGCTTTGGCACTTTCTGGAAGTTTTAGTATTGCGTTAACTCTGAGGGTTATTTTCTCCATGATTTGTAAACAGCTTTACTAGCTTCCTAGTAAGATTTTCAAAGCCTTAAAAAGGATTGCAGAAGAAAAAAAACTTGGAGGAAAAATTTTAAAAAAAGTAAAAATGTGTGTAAATACTTAGATGGGAAGTAGATTATTGGAAGAGATATGTATGTTGCCTGTTTTCAGATTTAGCTGGGGGGCAACCATAGTGTTTGGACAAGTGGCTTGCCGTACTTCTGGACAGACATTGGGGTTGACTCTATTGCACATTTAATAGGAAAGTTTCTTAGCCTGTTATGCTTGTCTCCAGTGGACATCAAGGTGTTGCAGAGCGCCTTAGCAGCCATCCGGCACGCCCGCTGGTTTGAAGAAAATGCTTCTCAGTCCACGTGAGTCTCATTGGTTATTTGTAGAAGATAACGCTTCCTGAGGAATGTAGTGGCTCTGGCCTGTGATCCAGCCACCATGAACAATAGACGCCTCCGCCTCCTGTGACAGAACTGTTTCAGATGTGATGTCTGGGTTTTGATTTTTACCTAAATAAACAAGGTTGAGGAGGGTATATTAACATTTTATTGTGTGTGTGAACGTACATACACAGGTCACAGTTGGGTAGCTAGTTTCAGGACAACTTTAAGGAATTTTTTCATTTCAGGCTTGTCAGACTTAAGAACAAATGCCTTTCTCTGTTGCTCCAGCTGGTGGCCACTGTCCTTGTAGTTCTCTAAATAGTATAGTCAGCGTTGACTCCTCAGTGTGGAAATATCAGTATGCTATCACCTCTAACCTGTGGGTCTCTTACATTCAGAGTTAAAGTTCTCATCAGATTGCTAAAGGACTTGAGGATTCGTTTTCCTGGCTTCGAGCCTCTCACACCCTGGATCCTTGACCTACTTGTAAGTTCAAAAAAAAAGGGCGGCTGAGGATGTAGCTCTGTGTAGAGCGCTTGTCTAGTATGTGAGAGGTTGTGGTGCAATTGCCAGTACTGCAAGAAGAAATAAGGGTGCAATTGGAGTCCCTTTTCATCTATATTTAGTTAGTTTTGAGACAGGGTTTTCTCTGTGTAGCCCTGGCTGTGGTGAAACTTACTCTGTAGACCAAGCTGGCATTGAACTTAGGTCCGCCTGCCTCTGTCTCTAGAGTACTTGGATTAAAAGGATGTGCCACCACACCCAGTTTGATTTACTCCTAAACCTACCAACATCAGAAATCCAATGAGGCCTAAAAGAAATTGTAGTCAGTCTTTGACAGACTGAGGCAGGAGCATTTGGAGTTCAAGGATAGTCTTGGAGACCCTGTCCTTAAAAAAAAAAAAAAAAAAAAAAACAACCAAAGTTTAGTCTAGGAAGACTGGGAGTTTACTTCACTGACGTTTTTAATGCTCGGTGAAAGTACTCTGCTCTCATTACTCTTGTCAGCTCATCATTACAGCTAGTTTTCCTCCTTACTTGAAGTTTTTGTTTGTTTGAACTTTAGATTTGCCAGTTGGTAGCACACCTAGCAGACTTACTCTCTTCCAGGGGCACTATGCTGTGATGAATAACCCTACCAGACAGCCTTTGGCCCTAAATGTGGCATACAGGTATAGCATGCTTCTTTAGGTTTGGGGTGCAAGTTGTTTTGTGTGCTTTCTAAGTGAGTGTCTTTGTGTTGTAGGCGTTGCTTGCAGATTCTGGCTGCAGGACTGTTCCTACCAGGGTCAGTGGGCATCACTGACCCCTGTGAGAGTGGCAACTTCAGAGTGCACACAGTCATGACCCTAGAGCAGCAGGACATGGTGTGCTACACAGCTCAGACTCTGGTTCGAATTCTCTCCCATGGAGGCTTTAGGAAGATCCTTGGCCAGGAGGGGGATGCCAGCTGTGAGTTCTCCCTGTGGTGTGGTCCAGGGGTTCTGATCTATAGAGACGCTGTATCTTAAGGTGCCCTAATTATTTCTGGATATAGCTTATTTTGTTTACTGACTGTCTGTATGAAACACGTTTTTCCCTTCTCTTCTAGATCTTGCTTCTGAAATATCTACCTGGGATGGAGTCATTGTGACACCTTCAGAAAAGGCTTATGAGAAGCCTCCTGAGAAGAAGGAGGGAGAAGAGGAAGAGGAGAACACAGAAGAGCCACCTCAAGGGGAAGAAGAAGAAAGTATGGAGACTCAGGAGTGAACTCCTCTTTACTCCTTGCTGCCCAAGGGAAGATGGGGCTAAGCCAGCTGCCATGGGTTTTATATGGTGGCATTTCTGTGGCATAGGAAGATGGAAGAGAAGAAAACAAACTAAAGGAAAGGAGGCTAGTTACTGTTTCGAAAGCGGCTAAGCAGCCAGATGTCTCCAATTTGTGACTGTATGCCATCTGTCCATCTGAATGAAGCACATTCCCAATATTTAAACCTAACCACTCCCAACCAGTATACTCTGTTGAAATGTTGTAAAATGTCTGGGAATTTTTTTTTCTATGAAAAATGAGTCAAGTACTTCCTAGCTGGGCTTTTGGTTTTATTTTTCAATATGTAGCATTCATTTTTGCCTTCTATACACTTCATTTAGAATTAAAGTTGAATCTTTATTATAAACACTGAGATTGCAATTTCAGCCTATATAAATTAAAAATAATAGACTCCTGGAATCTTTCTATGTTTGTGCGAGTAAACTGGAATACATTTAAGCCTTGTGATGTGGAACTCTACCATTCCGGGTTATTGTGGAACTCTTTTTTTGTGCATCAACATTGTGGTGGCTAATTTTCATGTCGTTGTGGCTTAGGAGATTGGTAAGACATTTCTGCGGAGGATTAACTGAGCAAGAATATCACCCTAGATGTGGATGAAATCATCCTACGAGCTGGGTGCCCAGACAGAATAAAGGGCTTAAAAGACAAAGCAGGCATTCCCTTCTTTTGGCCAGCAGGAGATGGAGAAGCTTGGTTCCCACACACTCATGTCTGACAATAGGTGACCACGTCCTGAACCCTTTGAGACCACAAAGCAAGATAAATCCTTTTTTGTTAATAACCGATTACAAGCATTTAATAATGTTGACCAGTACTATCAACATTCAAGCCAGGGTAGTCAAGGGGATAGATTTACCTTGACTTTGCCTAAGTCCTCAGTTGTAAACAAAACAAGTGAAACCACAGGTAGAGGGAATCCCTCTAAGACAGCAAGTGACAGGATGGTCAACATTGGTTAACTAGGCCTGGAAAGGTTGGAACTCCAACTATGAAGCTTTAAGTTTTTATTTTATGTGAATGGATGTTTTGCCTGCATCTATGTCTGCATCTTGTATGTGTGCTGTGCCCCAAAAGGCCAGAAAAGGGCATTGGATCCTCTGGAACTGTAGATTGCTATGAGCCACCTTGTGGGTGCTGGGAACTGAACTCCATCATCTGGAAGAACAGTCAGTGCTCTTGAATCACTGAGCCATCCCTCCAGCCCTTAAAATACATAGCTTTAAAAAAAAAAAAAAACACAAAAGCTTAGGGACTCTGAGCTGTCAATGTGCTCTGCCCTTGACCTCGGATCTTCATATCGTTTGTTGTGCTCTCCCAGGGCAGCACTGATGAAGGCAATAGTTGTGACCCTTGCTAAGAAACATTAAAATATATAGGATATATATGTAAAGATGAATCTGGAAGAGTCATGACCATGAGAGGAACTGGTAAAGCGCAGAGGGGAAGGAGTGGAAATATTCCTGCACTAACTCTGGTGTTTTGAACTTTCTACATGATGTCTAACCTTAACATTCTCTGTGGGAAAATGTGTAGACGTGAGCCAGGCACCTTGATACATGCCTGTAATCTCAGCATTCAGCCAGCCTGGGCTACACAGTGAGACCTTGTCTCAAAATCCAAAGGCAGAAGCTTATTGGAAGCACAAGCTGTAACGGAAGCTCTTTAGGAAAGTCTGCAGTATGCATGTTTCTTGAGGCCACTACACGAACGAGTACACAGTTCAAACAAACCTAAGGTCGACAGAAACTTTTCTGGGATCTTCTCATTGCTACCAAAAAAGGCAGCTGGAGAACAGTACTTGTACACTCAGGTCACAGGCCCAACTTATTTGCTTGGAGAACCAGGAGGGTAAACTCCTGAATCCAGCATTGCTCTCCTTCGAGCTGTTTCCTTGGCAACACTGTGGTTTAGCCGCCTTAGCCGTTCCTACAAGACAGGAAGACAGGGAATCTAATGATTGCTGTAAAAAGTTTACCTGAGTTAAGAAGACACTGAGAGGTACCTTAGGCTTGGACTCTATCTTATTTTACTTTTGGTTTTTCAAGACAGGGTTTCTCTGTGTAGTCCTGGCTGTCCTAGAACTCACTCTGTAGACCAGGTTGGCCTCAAACTCAGATCTGCCTGCCTCTGCCTCCCAAGTGCTGGGATTAAAGGCGTGTGCCACCACCACAGGGCTGGTTTGGGCAATCCTTTAAGTATATATAAGCTTGTAAACGACATCCACTAGAAATCAAGAATACCTGTCTAGTATTTTAGAGGACCTGAGGCTGAGGTCTAGTATGGGGGAGGGGCTCAACACTGCCCTTTCCCCGGTGGTTAAAATGTCTGGTGGCTTTCACTGTTGAAGACATAAAGTAGGATAAAGAACTGTTAAGACTTTTGTTTTGCTTTTTTTGGGGGGGGGGTTTCGAGACAGGGTTTGGCTGTAGTTTTAGAGCCTGTTCTGGAACTAGCTCTTGTAGACCAGGCTGGCATCGAACTCACAGAGATCCACTGGCTGCCTCTGCCTCCCGAGTGCTGGGATTAAAGGCGTGCGCCACCACCGCCCGGCCTGTTTTGCTTTTTTGATCCAGGGTCTTGCTATGGAGCCCTGGCTGATCTAAGAGCCCCCGTGTAGTCCAGGCTATGCTCCAAGTCCCAACCATTCTTCTTGCCTTAGCCCACCAAATGCTGAAATTTCATTATGTGTCAACATGCTCGACTAAGAAAACTTTCTTTTTTAATTACCTGGGCATTCTGTAAAATATTGTTCACCAAGACAACTCGTCGCCTGGCATTAAGCAGCTTCTTAACATAGGGGTCCAGATCCAAGGCCACCTTCTGATCCTCATTGATCCGGCATAGTTCTGAGAAGAGTAAATGGGCAACCAACATCTAATGGCTCATTTTTTGTTCTTAGGGAATATAAAAGAGGAACAAGATGAAAAACACTCTTGCAGTCTTGTGTGACCACAGATACCTACCCTTCACTCCCTTTCATTCTGTCCTAAGATATACCCAGAAATTAAGAGTCCGTGGGTAGTTCTGATATTGAGGAAACCAAAGCTCGTAAAAGTGAGTTCAAGGGTTCTAGGTATTCCGGGTGCTCACTCACCTGTAGCTAGGTTGTCAATTTGTTCCCGGAGCTCTACCTGGCTTTCTCTGCAAAGAGGTACAAAGGCCTACACGGTCAGTGAATGGGACGCGGGAAACTAATTCTACTTATTCCTCAAGTACTGAGAAAAGCCAATCTCAAAAGCCTCACCTCCGCCTCTTTGACCCAGAAGAGTCTCAAGAACTTACCCGGTCTTTACCTCTCGCGGCCCCGCCCCTACAAAGCCAGTTCCACAGGCCCCGCCCCCAGCCCTCCCGGTCCAGCACCTGACCGCGTGCACGTGAGAGTCGAGCTGCTGCACAGCGGGTCGCAGGAACTCCAGGAGCCCCTCGGCAAAGAGGTCGCGGCCCGTGGGCCCCGCCACCGGGGTCCCTGCCCCCGACACAGCAGCGGAACCTGCCGCCGCCATCACCAACTGCCCTGACGCCCGCAGCCTGCCGCGAGGGCCGCCGGGAACGGCAGCGTGCGGTGGTGCGCCGCGAGGGGGCGCTGAGGTACACAGTCCGCCGGGCGATGGGCTAGCTGGGAAATGGAGTCCTCAGAGAGCCGCGGGCGAACGTGCTAGTCTCCTGGAAATTGCAGTTCATTAGTGGGCCTGTCAGGGGCGGGATCCAGACTTCAGGAACCCGTAGGAACCATGTTTTTGGATTGGCTGTTTTTAAATTTTATTTTATTTTATTTTTAAAGGCAGGGTTTCTTTACATAGCCCTGGTGGCTTAGTACTCACTATGTAGACCAGGATGGTCTCGAACTCAACGAGATTCGCCTTCCTCTGCTTCCCAAGTGCTGGGATTAAGGCTTTTGTTTTATTTTTATTTATTTATTTTTTTCTTTTTTGAAAAGTGAAACTAAGTGCTGTTGTCCATAGCCTCCCCATGGGAATCGATGAGAAAGCCAATTGATGTTCATGTTAAAGTTTTATATTTCTCTTTTTTAATTTTTGTTGTTTTGTTTTTGGGACAGAGTTTCTTTGGATAGCCCTGCTGTCCTAGAACTAGTGATATAGACCAGGCTGGCCTTGAACTCAGATTTCTGCCTGCCTCTGCGATCAAAGGCTTGTACCACCACTGCTCTGTGAATTTTATATTTCTAAAGATTGTATTATTTATTTTTGTTAAACAAATTCTTGCCATGTAGCCTAAGTTAACCTTGCGTTCACAGTCTTTTTGTCTCAGTCTTTCTAGTGCTGGAGTTATAGGCCTGTGCCATCATAACAGGTTTTTAAAATTTTTTATGCTGATTTTTTGGGTGGGGGGCAGGAGAACCTAGCAGGGCATCGTGATTGCTAGACAGATCCCCACAGTACCTTACCTCCCACCTTCGCTTTTTATTTTGAGATAAAATTTCACTAAATTGCTGAAGTGAACTTGAATTTGTTTTGTAGCTACTACATGCAGGCCTTGAATATGCGCTCCTCCTGCTTCAGGAACAGGCTTGCACCAGGTCTGGCTTGAAAGAAGTTTCCAATTTGTTTTTCAGTTTTATATAGTATGTGTTCATGTGTATGTGTGCCATGGCATATGTGTAGAGGTCAGTTCTCTCCTTCCAGCATGTGGGTCCCTGGGCCCGAGGCTGCTCTCCCACCCTCTATCTGTGTACACAAGTGCAGTGAGTACAGGAGCCTAGGGAGATCAGAGGTGTTGGAGTTACAGGCAGTTGTAAGCTGCCTGACATGGGTACAAGGAGCCAAATTCCAGTTCTCTGGAAAACTGTTATGTGCTCTTAACTGCTAAGCCATCTCTCCAGCCCCCAAAAGGTGGTTTTAAATTATCACTTAAAACCTATGTGTGGGTGCACGCATGTGTGTACATATGGGTTCAGTGAAGCATAAGATTCCCTGGAGCTTTGAGGCCAGAGGTGTTGGATCCCTTAGAGCTAGAGTTACAGGTGTTATGAGCTTCATGCTGTGGGAACCCATCTGGGAACCTCTGCAAGTGCACTAAGTACTCTTACCCACTGAGCCATCTCTTCAACCTCTCCCTGGTGTAGGAGGTTCTTCTGTATTTGTGTTGATTTTATTGGTTGAATAAATAAACTGCCTTGGCCTTTTGATAGGGCAGCAATTAGGTAGGCAGAGTAGACAGAACTGGATGCTGGGAAGTAGGGCAGACAGAGAGCCAACATGGAGCCGCCAGGTCAGACATGCTGAATCTTTCCTAGTAAACCACGACCTCGTGGTGACACACAGATTAATAGAAATGGGTTAAACCAAGATTTAAGAGTTAGCCAAGAAGAGGCTAGATATAATGGCCCAGGCAGTGTTTAAATTAATAAGGTTTCTGTGTGGTTATTTCGGGGGTTAAGCTAGCTGAGCGGCAGGATGTGGCCCACTCCTCCTTACTATATCTCCCCACCCAAGAATATTTTTAATGGCATCAAATACGCACAAAACTGAGTATGCCTTAAAAGAAATGGATTTAAGAATGAAATCGTGATATAGGCTAGGCCATGGATGTCCCTTAAGGACATTTATGTTACACAAAATAACCTGGCCTCCAAAGGATAAATATCATATGGTTTCACTTATATGAATGGCCAAATTCATGGATATAAAATTGTAGGATGGGGCTGAGGTGTAACTCTGTGTGAAGGCACTTGTATATCATACCTGAGGCTCTGGGTTAGATTATCAGCACTGAAAAACAACAGAAGTTGGATAGGGTGGAGTGAAGAGTAGGATTGTTTGATGGGTAAAGAGTACCAGTTTGGGAAGATACACGGGTATGCACTTGCTGCTACCGAACTCTACATTTAAACATACTTAAGGTGAATTGTGCTATGCACACTTCTGGCTTTGTTTTTGAGGCAGGTCTCACTATGTAGCTTGGCTAACCTGGCACCAACAGAGATCAAGCATACAGGGGAAACAGATAAGCAGAACAGCAGCAGCCACTAGAGTTTTGAAGTCCTGTACCCCTGATCTGAGGTACAGATATTGTTGAAAAGGGCATAGCAAACTTACTGAATGGTACAGAAATTACTGTGATTCCATGTTGGTGGGCTGTGCTGGGTTCTGCTAAAGCTGTTTATGGGAGAGGGCCCTCTTAGCGTGCTGATACATGACAGCCTGAGGACACTGGGTGCCACTGGCTGCTCTGCATCCCAAGACCTTAATAGTGGGAGAAGCCACCAGAGCCAGAAAGCAGCATCTCCTCCTGTTTTTCCAGCCCTGTCAGATGGTAAAGAAAACATTCAAGAGATCCAGAACTATTTTTACTGAGTAGACAGAAAGAGTTAATGTAGCATTGTGAGAGTATCTTTCATTTGTTTGAGACAAGGTATCACTATGTACTTATGACTGGCCTGGAGCTCCCTTTGCAGACCAGGTGGGCCTTGAACTGAAGAGATCCACCTGCCCCTCCCTGGTAAGTGCTGAGATTAAAGGCATACACCACATTTTGATACAGTTTTCTTAGAGAGAACTGTATGAAATGTTTACAAAATATGAAAACGACAGAGACAGGTGAGGGGAAGAAAAAGGCAGAATTAGCGGGGAGTTGTACAAGAAAATGCAGAGTTCATGATCACCTCTGATCCTGATAACTAACCCCCTGTGGTCCTTTGCAAACTCACTTTTTTTGTGGGTCTTTGTGTTTTGTTTTGTTTTTTTTCATGGTGGTCCAACACGGGGCATTTGTGGTTTATCAGCCTTTTCACTCTGAAATCTGCATGGTGCTTGCAGACTGCAGGGTGCTGGCCGCTGGGACGAGGTTGAGCAAGGTGTCCAACAGCCAGTGCAGCAGCAGTGGCACCTGGTACAACAGCATGTGCTCAGGCTGGTTGTTGTAGTGCACCACGCCCGTCTGCGCTCCATGCGCTACCATACAGTTTGTGAACTGGGCAAGGAGCTGGAGATTGAAACACACAGACACACAGAGACAAGAGACACAGGTCATCCTTGAAACAGGAATGTCCCCCCCCCCCCTTACTGTGTACCAGAGCTGCTTATATAGAGATCCTTAACTGATAGCCACGCCCCAGTCAAACCCACCAGAAATCACTCTCCTGCCATCAGGAACTTCTGAGGGTCTTGTGCTCAGAGCAGCTGCAAGCATTACAAGTTGTTTACCAGAAATTCAGGATCTAGGGGGTTCACAGCTCCCAACATCTCACCCCCCCTTTTTTTTTTCTTTTCTTCAATAATCTTTTAGGGAATCTGGGTGTTGTTGATCTGTCTGGCTCCTGCTGAGCGGGAGTGCTGCATTCTTGGGGGTACTCCTTTTAATCTGTCTCTTTTAAACTTACTCTTTTCCTTCCTCTCTGGGGCTATCCTCTGTCATTTTTTCATTCTTTTTGTACTCTCTTAACTCTTCCTTTTTTTTTTTTTTTTAAATATTTATTTATTTATTATGACAATATTCTGTCTGTGTGTATGTCTTCAGGCCAGAAGAGGGCACCAAACCTCATTACAGATGGTTGTGAGCCACCATGTGGTTGCCGGGAATTGAACTCAGGACCTTTGGAAGAGCAGGCAATACTCTTAACTACTGAGCCATCTCTCCAGCCCCCTTAACTCTTCCTTTTTGAGGCCTTTCAATTCACCCTCCTGCCTCCTGTTTTGGAGGGCGTGTCTCAGAGCTTCTCTGGGGATGAAAACACACACCATTCACGAGAGCGACCTCTCGGCATTCCCAGGCATTCCCACCTGATCTCGGTGGGACGTCCACTGAGGTTGTTAGTGATGATCTGCTGCCATTGCTTAGGCAGAGGGCTCATAGGTACTGTCCATCACCTGTCAACAATGCCAGCAGCTGCTTAAAGTCCAAGTGGTGGAGGGGGTCCATCCTGGGTAACTTTGACTTCCTAGCCTCCAACTTGGGCCTCAGTTCTTCAACGTCACATTCCATTTTCTTCCTGATTTTTAACTCAAGAATCCCCTGTATCAGACCTACCCAAGCAAGTCACCTTCAGCCTGGACAGATGTCTTTGTACTTCTTCCAACACTGATGGTCTGCTAGGTAACCCCACTGCTCCCCAACAACCTCAATCCAGTGCCTCTCTCCCCAATCATGGCAGGGATGATTCCTCCAGAGTCAGGCCTGGAGATGTTGCCCACCATCAGTATATAAGTTGTGGGTCAGTTGACACACACAAACCTGTAAGCACAGTATACCCTGCTAACCTAACAGTGCTCTCATGGTCAACCTTCCCTTCTGCCTAGATTTCTCATCAGCTGTGCTGGTGCTGATAGAGTCCAGTGCCTCCACGCTTTAGTGTATGTCCTGGAGGGTCTGGCCCTGCCTCACTTCAAGCTCCCTCTTCTGACTCCACTTACCCACCCCTTCAAGTGGTTAAGCTGACTTGCCTAACTTGTCTTGGTTGCCTTAAGGTAGGTGCATAAGGTAGCTTTACAGGAATACTTGTGTTGGCTCAGGTAGCAAACAGTGCCTCTACCTAGAGGCTACCTGTACCCTGTACTTCACCTGGGTGAGACGATGTGCACTTGTAGGAGGGTGC